AATACTATAAGGTTGAAATCGTAGAAAAAGAAACGGAAGTCAAATATTACACATTGACAATGACAAACACACAAGACTTAACCAATGGCTTTAGGTATATTAAAGAACTACTCATGCAACGACATAGTTTTAGAATGCACAAAGATTATAAAACATTGAAAGACAACAATATCAATGTGCATAGTGTTAAAACAGATGCCTTCATTATTGATAGGAAAAATCTTGACAAGGCTAAAACATTAATTAAGTTTTCAAGCAGAAGGGGAGGATGGAGAGCTGAAGATAATAAGCAAGTATCACCACCGAGCGATGTATACAAAATTAAGGCTAATGAGTTATCAGAAATTTCGACTTACAATAATGTAAAAATTCATGTTAAAGACTAATACGACACCAAAAGCATTTGTGAGCAAATTGTGGCGTGTCATCCGGTTTACTAAAAGCAAGACTGGCTGGAAGTGGCAAGAATTATATAGGCGAATATATGAAAAAATTGGTTATATTGTGTTATTCGTATGTCCTAACAACAAGCAGAAGCAAGAAACCGAAGCCGACGCCATAACATTAAACAAATTTTTAGTATCCCAATAGAAGCTGGAGAAAGACTACCGACATTTGACCATTCTGATTATAATTGTATTGTGTTTGATGAGCTAGGTATGGCGGGTAATTATATTTTGAACAGAGTTAGGGAGTTTAAGGATACGCACCCAGAGAAGATAATTATAGGAACTGCTGACGGGAAGCAGTTGAAACCTATAGCTGATTTAACTAACACCCAAGACCACGAGACATATTTAAACAACTGTCTTAATCAACTATTTAAATATAAGATTTATCTTAAGATATCTAAGATACTCAAGACAGAAGAAGATAAAATTAAATTGAATGATGTATGTAATGACATTTGGAAAAGTAAACTGCCCATTAAGGAAATAGTAAATAAACATTTTGAAACTACAAGCGACATCATGGAAGGAGAGCATGACATAGCCTATACTAATGCTAGGTGCAAATGGGTAAGCAAGACCGTAAGAAGCAATTTAGGAAAGACAGATAAATGTGAAATCGGAGAGCGTGTGATATGCAGAGTTTATAAAAAATAAATGGGGCAGGTGTTTAATGTAAATATTACTTATGAAATTATTAGTATTGATGAATGGAAAGTAGAAACCCAAGATATCAAAAGTAAAATTATATTCATGACAAACACCACGACTTTAGACAAGCACGTTATACATGCGTATTGTGCTACATGTCATTCGTCTCAAGGGGCTTCTGTAGATAAAAGCATTACTATACACGAATGGGATAAATCACATTTGGTCAGCCGTGAGTGGATTTACACAGCGATTTGATTACAAGGTGCAGAGATATCAATAAAGTCAAGTTTTTCAAAGCAGACATAGACGATACTGATTTAAATGAAGCACAAGTAACCAGATATTTAGAACATAAGATTAAACAGTATACATTACAAGACATGAAAGCAGAGAGAGAGATAGACAACAAAAAATATATTGATGCCAAATGGTTGTTTGACAGGCTTAATACCAGATGTAATAAATGCAGTTCAGAGTTTGACATAGAAATAAATAATGGAGTAATAAATAGTAATATGACAGCCCAAAGAATAAACGACGATTATGCCCATCATAAGTTACTGTTTAAACTGTAATCGCCGGGAAAATAATATCTATCTTATTTATTTGGCATCTAAGCAAGATATTATTAATAATCTTTATTATGATAAGGGAGGCTTCGGGTCAAAGAACCGCACTTTACAAGAAGCAAGGAAAAAGGGTAACACAAAAACTATAAACGATATAAATGAGTTTGTTAGGAAGAATGTAGAACAGAAAGCTAAACCGAGAGGGCAGAATTCATTTGTAGCTCCTAGCGCATATTATGAGTTTCAAATTGATTTTTCCATTAATGATATCCCTAAACAAAAAATGAAAGTTGGTATGATGTGTATTGACATATTTTCTAAGTATATGGTTGTTGTCCCGCTTATGTCAAAACAGCCAGCGGACATTTTAGCAGGACTGATGGAATGTATTAAAACAATGGATGGAAAGCCCAAACTAATTTATATTGACGATGAAGGTTATAATAATCAAAGTGTTATAGATTTCTTGAAGGGTTAAAAAATAGAGTTGCACAGAGCCAAAGGACACCCAGCATGCGCGGAGAGGGCGATAAGCACGTTTAAAGATAGCTTATATAAGAGGGTTGAAAACGATGAGAAAAAAGGAAAGGCTATTCAATGGACAGACTACATACACGAGATTATATTAACTTATAACAATGGAATAAAGCACACTTCGCACGGTTTATTTCCGTCAGAAGCAAGAAAGCCTAAACATCAATTAGAAGTGAGTTTAAACTTAGGTATGAAAGCCAAAAGAAATAGAGTTTATCCAGATTTAAACGTAGGAAATGAAGTTAAGATATTCAGGAAAAGGAGACCAAATGAAAAGGAGCGAGTAGGAGTATGGACCAAACAAAACTACAAAATAGCAAAGATTGAAAAGAAGTTAGGACAAGAGTATTATTATATTGAAAATTATGACAGGGCATTTTTGAGACATGAGTTATTAAAGGTATAAATTTATTTCTTGGAAGAAGTATTTAAAGAAATAGAAACTACATATATTATAATAGAAATGGTGGAAACCGAAACCAATAATTATATCAATAAGAAATGCTACGACTGTTGCCACTTCAAAAAAGAAAATATGGAATTGTATAAATTGAATTTACCTAATGGAATAATGAATAATATTATTGATTATGCTTTGGGCAAAGAAGATTTATGTAAAATTTGTAGAAATTGGAGATATAATCAAGAATTAATCAATTGTCATTTGAACCATAAAAGGTTTCTTAAAACAAAATTTGAAGACGACATTATAATATGTTTAACTGTGTATGAAAGACCACCTTATGATTATGTTAGAGCATGTTTTAAAATCAGTAAGAAAAGTATGAAATGATTACACACATATTATGGATGTTGATTTATCATAGGAAGACAGGCGTTGATTTGAAAGAAGACACTAAATCATATATTGAAAGTGAAAAGTTTAATGTTAAAAATGCAGCGAGAGAGATTGACATTATTTCTTAAATGATGTATGAAAGAAGTAAGATGTATACACAATTTAATAGTCATCAATTAAATTCTTATCCTGAGTTTAAACTAAAATCATACAAAAATATTAACATGCAAAATTGAAAATGTGAAAAATTATATTTCCATATTGAGTTTTATTTCTTGTAAAAAGTATTTAAAGAAATAAACGCTATATATATTATATAGTGAAATGGTGGATTTTACTGAACAAGAGCAAGAAGAAATGTTTAATGATTTTCTGAATAAAATACAAGTTAATGACATTATCAGTACTTGTAAATATAAACTAATAAATGAAAAAACTGAACTGACTAAGTTAAATTTACCTAATCCAATTGTCAAAAAACATTTGTGATTTTAATTATGTTGAATGCGAGAAATGTTTTTATTAAGAAACGCAAAGCAAGTTTTTACATAAAAGTAATTTACATTCAACATTGAGACAATGTATTTATGATAAATACACATTGGAATTTGAAGAAAATACATTTCTCAAGAATGACGAGTCATTAAGAACATATTGTTTTATAGAGTTAAATACATTGCCTACATATATAAAAGTTAAAAAATATATATACTGCAAGATAACGAAACATATATTTTAAAATTTCATAATGATATTAAATATTACTACGAAAAATCATATGAAGTTAGTTATGGTGGCAAAACTGGAACAACAAGTATGCCCCAGTTTCCTAAAACCCTTTCAATATCATTTATCACATCACCATACAGTAATTTACCTATTATATTGTTCTTCTGTTCATCCTTAGTATAATCATATTTTATCAATTATGTTTTTCAATTCTTGGTTTCTTTGTTTTATGTAGTTTAAGAATGTTTCCTTGCAATCATCAATAAATTTACGTATCATTTTATTATCAAATTCTTCAATTGGTACCAAATATTACAAAGGAACATTTAAATACTAATGACGTTGATCAAAACCATACTATGATTATAACATTTATACCCTTTATATGTTATACTTATAATGTAAGTATAGCGTTTTATATATTGAATATAAAATCCTACAAGGGACAGCACGCCTAAAAAATGTATGATGAAGCTGATGAAACGAAGGAGGAGAGTGATGTTGTTGCTGTTCTATTTTTTGTCCGAGAAATGGACAAATCGTTTTTAGACAGTTCGATTTTTTTGATGACACATATTTGTTGCAATATATTTTGCAAAATTTATTCATTTTTTAAATGGATGAGGTGAGGAGATTGAGGAAATGACATTTTGAAGGGTAGTTGGTGAAATGAATGAGGCGAGGAGGAAGGAGAAAGGATGGCGAAAAAAATGGAACAGGATGAGAAAAAACGGATGAGTTGGACAGAAAGGAATGTAGAAAAATGATGAAAACGAATAAGGGTAGAAGATGGAGGATGAAAAAAAATGTAGGGTGGGGTGTATGGATGAAAGCAATTTATTGCTAGGCGTGCCCCCCAACTACTAAATCTGCCCTAAAGCCCTAAACTCCCACAGACCCTCAACCCACCACGAACCCACCCTGAATCTCCCCTAAACTGCCCTAAGCTTGACAAAAGAAACACACCAGCCGTCCTTTGGTCCTCTTGTCCCATGGACCCGTTTTTCCCTTGCTTCTTTGGTGCCCTCGTCTCGTCCCCTCGTCCCTTGGTTTTTTGATCCCCGGTCCCTTGCTCGTTTCTTGGGTCCTCCTTCGGTTGGCATTCTTTCGCCCATTCGTCTTTTCGTTGCAAAAAACCCTGTTCACCTGGCCCCTGAATTTGTTTTAGATTGCTAAACAAGTTCTTTCGGATTGCTAAGCACTTTATTTGATACCCCACCCAAGATTGAGCAGCTAGCTCTGCTCATGTGTTCTTCGGTTCCCAAGGTGGTGCTCTCTCCAACCGTGCCCTGACTGATATGCCAATAGTTGTGTGGTCGTTGTTGGTACTGTGTCGCAGGTGGTCCTTTTTTCTATTCACCCAACCGGGCGCCCTGTGCTTAGCCTGTGCTTAATGCTTGGCAGAAACGCAGAAGGTGTGCGTGTTGGACATGCGAGGTCTGTATCTTGCCCACATGGTCCTGACCGGACGAGACAATGTGATCGACATTGTCTGGACCTCACCTGGACAGGCCGGATGGGGGAATTCGAAAATTCCGGGACGGACTATGGAAGACAATATGCCCACAGTTGCGCCATTGCCGTTGTTTGACCATGTTCTTTTGCGGCACACCACTGCCGCTCTTTGTGTTGGCGCAGCAGACGCATTGTTCCCGAAGCTTTGCGCAAGAGCGGGAAAGAGCAAAACACCAAAACGGCAAAACGGCAAGAGAGAATCCTGGCCCTGAGCACCTGCCGGCCTGGAACCTTTGCAGCCGCCCGGGCCCTCAAGCGGGCGTGTCAAGTTCCAGCAACAAGGAACATGCGACAAAAATAAGGCGATGACTTTGTCTGCCTGGCCGACATGGCTGGGGCAGTGAGCCTTCTCCGGGCAGAAGCCTTGGTGTCTAAGGGTGGGAGGCAAGATTGGGAGGCTGCGGGGCAAGGCCACCATGTCGAAGAAGAAGCTTCCTGGAACTCTGCAGCCTTTGAAGCGCATGCGCCTGCACGAGCCAGGCCAGGACTGTGACAGCTGTGGGGCCAGTCCGCCCAGCTTTGAGTTCAGGTGAAGTTCCGCTGAAGCCCACTGAAAAGTTGAAGGACGGAGCCATTCATCATTGATCGAGATTTTTGTGTGGTCGTGCATTTGCTTGAAGCAAATGTGGCACAGGAGCTCATGGCCGTTCACGAGCAGCTTCGCTGCTTGAATGCATCGATCCTGCTTTTGTTGAAGCCGTGTCGGCTTGCCCCGCGTGTAACTCAGGGGATGTCTTCCGCTTCATCCGCTGGGCCCTGCAGGATCTGACAGAAGGTTTGACTTTTTCTTGCCTCGTCTGCGAGGCTCGTACACTTTCGAGGTTGCGGATGAAGTTTCCTCCCTGGGTCCTTTGCAGTCCGGAGCTTGGCCTTGGGCCACATTGTGACATGCCAACGCGCGGCAGGTCAATGCAACTCTTGGAAGAGGGTTGGAGCCCTCAGACAGCTTGCCAGTCGGTGCCGAAGCTGCCACGTTTTCCGGTGTCCAAGTCTACGACTGGCGGCTTTCAGGTGCTTTGAGCACCCAGCGCTTCATTGCGTGTGGTGGCCGCAGCCACAGCCCACATAAATGAGACCGATTCAACTGCTGAAGTTTCTGCTGGCAAGGCACGGACTCCAAGGGCGCCTTGCACATCATGCAGCGAGCTGTCCCACTGGAGGCACTTGCCTTTGAATCCTTTCACTTCAAGCCTTTTGAAACAGGAGCAGGTGGAGTTTGACCTTCCCAAGGATGTCAGTTTCGGTGCGGCGCTCGCCTCAGAGAAATGCGTCGAGCCCTTTTGAGGAGCCCTCGCACGCAGGTGTGGACTCTGCGGCAAGCGGAGGATGCAGTGATCCAGGCAGAATCTGCGGAACTGATCATTCGGTGGGCACCGAACTTGTGGGTTCGGGCTCTCAAAACCTTTTCCGTGCAGGGGAAAGCAGACAAGCCACTAGAGGTTCTGGCCTCAAGATGTCTGTTTTCCATCTCCTCTGCAGACATGTCAAGGCTCCGCCGCCACCGCACCGATACGTGCTCATCTCCGGACCTGGCAAAAGTAACTTGTCACAGCGTCCAGTGCCTCTTTTAAATTATTTGGCCGAATGTAAGGCATGCTGCTTGAGACCACGGAGGAGATCGAGGCGCTTGATGTTCCTTCAAGCCAGAGAACCACACTCAAGCGGTTTGCCAGGAGATCTCGAAATCCCGCGGACTCGACACCTCGGTCACAACAGTGGGAGCGGGCAACGCGCGGGGGCTTGTGGTGTCTTGGCTGGACAAAGTCAGAAAGGCCCAAAGAAGGCTGTTTCAGAGCCCTAAGTCCTACTTTGATGCCAAAGCGTAGGTACAGCTGACACCGCAGCGTGCCTGCTTCATGCACGCAGCGCCTGGAGCAGGCGTGCGGCCCCGTGCGCTGACCCCTACGCGCAACTCGTGTCAGGCCTGGGCCCGCCTCCTGTGGCCTACCCCTCCTCAGCCTCAGCGCGGGGACCTCGGCCCGTCGGCCCGTCGGGCCGTCGGGCCGTCGGCCCGTCGGCCCGTCGGCCCGTCGGCCCGTCGGCCCGTCGGCCCGCGACCGAGTTCGTTTCGGGATGCGTCGGGATGCGTCGGGATGCGTCGGGATGCGTCGGGATGCGTCGGGATGCGTCGGGATGCGTCGGGATGCGTCGGGATGCGTCGGGATGCGTCGGGATGCGTCGGGATGCGTGCAGGATGGCGGGCAGCGTTTGCGATCCCTTTGTGGTGCTGGGCTTCGAGGACCGGAGGGGTTGGTTGCGGCTAGGGTGGGAACTTTTGTGCGAGGACAAGACCATGAAGCTGCTCCATTTGGCCGGTGATACCAGTCCAAGCCTGAGGTTCAATTTGCCCTTCCCTTTCAAGCCAAATTCGCTTGGGATCATCGGATCTTTCTGTTTTGCAATGTGTCTTGCCAGCTAGTGTCCCAGGCCAAGTTACTATGAAGGATGTCAGCCAGCAGCTGCCGCAGGCGTCGATGTCGTGAGAAGGCAAAGCGATTCGCTCGACGCGAGGAGCTGCAGGGCCCCATCACCTGGGCCTCGCTGAGCCGAGGGGCCGAGATCCGATTGGTGGTGCTGTTGCCCACAGGCCGGGCCATGCGTCCGAGTTGAAGTGAAGTGAATAGGAAGCATGAGGGATGTGAATAGGAAAGCGCCATGAAAGCCGTTCTGATGGCCCTTGCGCCGAGGCACTTTGAGCATTCTTCACTTGGCTGGTGGAGGCTTTGGCAACTTACCATCCCATCTGACGTCGTGCTTTCCAGGGAAGCTGGCAGTCCGCGAAGTGTTCCGTACCAGCCATTTGGCTGATGTGCCGCCAGTGCTCCGGCGAGATCCTTGCAACTGTCTTTGCGTTCTTGGCCCGCATTTCATGGCAAGGAACATCGCTGGCCTGGGAGACGAGGACGAGGCGCAAGCTGAGCAAAGCGCTCAGCTCCGTCAACAATTGCTGGATTTGCAGGAGTCCCGGCTCAGTGCATCCATGGACTACCTGTGCCTCAGTTGCGCTGAGCAGATACTTGCTTATCGGCTCGCGTCAGACCCAGGCGCCCTGTCACCGATGTGCCGCCCTTTTTTTTTGCGGCGGCGTTGGAGTCCAGTGACAGCAAATTGCAGGTAGGAGGCATGCTTGGTGTTTGCGCAAGGTCTGTGCTCCACTTCCACGCAGTGCAGTTGAGTCGCACCTCGCAAAGGCGTCTGCATGGCAGATGCTCTTTTGTGTTGACTTTCAGATAAGGCCGACAATGCGGTGCAGCCCACTGCGCCAGACTGAGTGGAATTGTTTTGCCAAGCAATTCTCACTCGGCAAGCAGCCTGCTGCCCTGCACCTGATTTGCAGGTGCTGTGTGCCGAGCTTGTAGACCTGGATGCAGACGATGAAGGGCCTACGTTGGTTCTGCTTGTGAAGGGGAGGCAGGATGCATCACTCCCAAAGATGAGCCTGGAGAATCTGGGCGCTCCGTGACCTTCTCAGGCCGATGCTTTTCTACCGCTCCTTCGTGACGTCTCGCGGTCCTCAGGTGCAGTGGCCTTTTCTTGTTTCTTGGACTTTGATGCATTGCGTTTTAGAAACAAACTTCGAAGAGATAGTCCCTTTGCGGCTTTGGGTCGGGGCCGCCCGAACATAGGGAAAAAGGTCGCGCCCAACCTACCGTCCTCGATTCTGCGAGGGCGAGAGGACGAGTGGGCACCCGTTCCCGTCGAGCTCCCGGTGTTCGTATTTTCCCAGCTCCGTGAAGTGTGCACTGAGAGGTATGGCTTCAGCCTTGTGGAGCACGACTTCCTAGGCACAGATCACCGGTTCACCTCAGGTTCGCAGGTGCGGTGCTCTCGCGAAGGCCTGGTGCAGTCAGCCGCGATGCCCTACCGACCCGTGGCTCCCTTGGACGCCTCAGGCACGGCACAGTCGGAGTGAGCGCCAGACGACGCTTGGATTTTCAGGCCGGCCCAACGGCGCCGTGGCAGTGGCGCCGCATGCGGGGCTTCCAGCTTTGTGGCTGGTGGCGAAACGGAACCAGCCAGGGACTGAGCAAGGCAAATGTGAAACGATGTGAAACGCAAAATAATTTGAGTTCGCGTTCGAAACGCATTCGACGCCAGCTTTTTTCTCCTGAGCCATGGGTGCCCGAACCGCTCTGCTCACGGGCTCAGCTGCGCTTCTGAAGGCGGGTTCAGGGGAGTCTGGAGTCCACTGGCCAGACTGGGCCGCGGACGAGACGCACAGGTCAGCTGCGGATCCGATGACTTGGTTTGGCTAGCGCCCTTCATCGCCCGCGAAACGTCTCGAGTTGGGAAGCTGTGGGTGGAGCTCTCAGAGATGCTGTTTTGAAGTCCTGAAAGCTTTGTCCTAATCTTTGGCAGAAATAGTGGCTTGCATTTGCAGCGCAGCTTTCAGGTCTCCCTCTTGTACTCCGTTTCCGTGGCTGCTTTGGTGGCCATTGCTGCTGCGCTTGGCGCATTTGCTCAGTCTTTGCATGGCAAAAATGCCGACATTCTGAAGCTTGGCGCGCTGTTTCTCTCTGTGCTTGCGAGTGACCTCCATCCGGGCAGCTCACTGCAAGGAAATGGTGGCTGAAGTGTATAGTTGGAGGACTTTTGGTCTTGTACTCGATGCTTTTCAGCAGCTGGTCATATCTCCGGGTACCCCCATTCTCATTTCTGGGACTAGCTGAGGGTGTATATGGCTTACGATGAAGGCTGGATGAAGCCTTGCGGGCTTCAGGGCTCAGAAGATAGCGACGATGGTGACGACAAGGAGTGTGTGTTGAACTCAGGGAGCTTCTTGCTCTGGAAACCGATTCACTATCCCCACGTGGCATCGGAAGGAAGAGGCCTTGCTGGAAACAGAGCCTTCATCCGGGCGGAGCAAAAAGTCAGGCACAACTGACTGTCCCACAAGAGCAAACTGCTCATGTGGAAGGCGGCAACATTGTCATCGTAGCGCTTCTAGGAAGTCTGCAGCTTACTCAAAAGCTATGCGTCTGTGAGCGTGACCAGCAGGCTTACTATTGTTGCGCGCCTTTGGCGAGGCTTGGACGACTTCACGGTCTACTTGATCATAGCAGGCAGCATCACGGGTCCTTCAACATCTCAGCATGCTGTGCCTTTGCCAGGCAGTGGAATCTACACGTGGTATGAGCTCATTCTGGGCACCGTTTTGGGATGTTTTGCTTTGGCGGGTGTCGCACCTTGTCTGCTCTGGAAGCTGTGGTCAGGCTGCATGATGTTGCACAGGAACGAAGTTGGACAGATACGGCAACTATTTGTGCCTTGACACTCAGGTCCTCTTTCTGACCGAGAGCGAATCTCTTTCCCACGTTCTTTCCAACATACCGGCGTGGTTGATCCTGCTAGCTTTAGGTGTTATTGTTCTAGCAGACCTGTTCTAATAGAGTCTTATGGCCGAGCCGAACCAGGCTGGCTGAGTCAGCACCCTGTCGAAACAGGGCGGATGCTGGCTGGGAGGTTGGGACCTGCCAGCAATCGCTTCACAGAGATGACAGACAGAAAAGGAGCTAATGAGCCCAATGTGCTTTGAGAAAGGAAGGCATTGGCAAGCAGAAGAGCCGAGGCTTTTCATCCACCCGCTGCCCGGCAAGCAGCACCGAGGGCTGGCGGCACTGCCAAAGCCTTGGCTTTGCCAAGCAGACCTTTGCCCTTTCTGAACCTGAGAGGTTGCTTTGACATCCAAATAATATTGGCTTTTTTTGGCTGGCTGGCTGGCTGGCTGGTTGGTTGGCTAGTTGGTTGGTTGGTTGGTTGGTTGGCTGTTGGGTAGTTCTCATGGCTAGTTAAGTTGCTTGTGGCTTAGTTAGAATGGGTCTTGGATTGGTTTACGGTTGCTTTGTCTAGGGGGTGCTCGGGATTTGTCGGGCTGATTTGCGGCCTGTTTTGAGTCGCTGATCCTGGGTGGGCTTAAAGCCAAGACCAACCCTATTGCCAGCCCAACTCTCCACAATCCAGCGAGCCCTGCTCATTGGCCAAGGTCCGCACCTTGCTGCCAGGGCCTGTTCGCCGTGTTGGAGTCGGAGGGCGGGTCCGTGGCGCAGGCGATGCACAAACTGAGAGGCTGAGAGGCTGAGAGGCTGAGAGCGCATGCACATGGCAGGTGTGCAGCCTTGCCACTGTGGAGGGCCTGGACGCCTTTGCCCGCTCCCGAGATTCCTTGTGGGTGTTCCGTATAGATTCCTTGTGCGTTTGACTCTTGAATTCATTGACTGGACCTTCGATTTGAGAATCAGGACCTCAAGCAGCCGGTGCCTACGGCGCGGCTTGCCTTGAAGCCACCTGGCTGCAAGTTTGGTGTGGATCAGGCTTGCGAGCTCTGGGCCCAGGAAACGCCCGAAATATCTGGCCTGCGGCTCATCGCACCGTGCCTCTCGGCCTCCAAGTCTAAGTTGGCTAAGGCCACCAAGCCCGGTGTCATCGGATTGGCGGTTTCAGATGTGGTCGCAGAGCTCAGCCCTCAGTCAGACTCAGATCCCAGCGCATCGAGTTGTTTCACCCCAAGGTTGCCAGACGTACCTGCTGGACCCAGCATCGATGAAGACCCGCTCAGCGAGGAGCATGAATTGTTTCCAGTCAATCTTGCAAACAACTTTGAATCGGTAGCTTAAGATCTAAGGATCATGTAAGCTCAGCAAGCAAGAGGTCGTTTGGCATAGTCATGGAGCTTTTTAGGCAGCATGGGGTTTGTTTCCTCGGCCAAGACGTCAAGTTTGCAGCGTGTGGAGTTTTTAGCTGCTTCATGGCGAGAGCAACGAAGAGAGAGCGAGAGAGAGAGAGAGAGCTGAAACTTTCGGGCAACTTTTCCCAAAGCTAGGACTGGAGCATCATCCGGGAGCCTCCAGTTGCAAAGCTCAGCCCTCCGCCCATGCCGAGAACGCATCCACGCCAGCGCCTGACAGATCCACTTCGTTTTCTGGAAATAGCGCTCACTGTCGCTGGAAAGCGCGGATTCACCCGAGGATACGAGCTGTGGCTTGAGGACTCCAAGGATTGGAGAGATTTGCGGCGCCAAAGCTATGCTTGCAATGTCGATACACCAAAATAACTTGTCTTGCAGCAGGTTCATTAGGGGCTTTCTGTTGTAAAGGAGCTCGCGCAAATTGGGCGTTATCGCTTTAGCTTCGACAATGAGGAGGCGGGCCTCAATCCCAGCCATGTGGTTTTTTGCCTTGATGCAAGGCAGTCCTCAGCCTGGCCTGGGCACTGCTCGACGTGCTTGTCACATCCCGCAGGGATGCCGGTGGAACGTTGCCAGGTGAGTATTCCTGGCTTCCCACAGCCCAGCCTTGCGGTTGGCACCGGTGTGAACACAGGGGAGGACGAACCTGTCAGCCTTGCAGCCTTGCAGTCGGATGTGTTCGGATGTGTTCGGATGTGTTCGAGTGTCGGCCTCTCCAGGATCTCACCTGCCGTGGCCGTCTGATGCTTTTCTCCACGAAGGCCGCATGCCAGAGAGGCACCCGCTCTGACGGTGAGCATCAGGACAAGGAGCCCGGTATCCTCCCGCCGATGTACCAAAGGCTTGGATTGTGCTGAGGCTCGGATAGCGACAAATCGCACAGGTCGCTGAAAGCGCCGGTAACTGTGGCCGAGAGCTAGGTTGGGGAGCAACCGGATGTGCTGCCAGTGGGCATGAAGTCACTGCAAAGCCGGAAGTGAGAACCGAGCAAAGACATGTGCACTGAGGTGGGACAGTCGGGCAACCACTTTGTTCATTCAGAGGGCTTCAAGTTCTTTGTGGAGAAATGGGACCGCAGCCAGCCATGCCGGGGTGCACCTTCAAGATATTCATAGCACGTCTTGGCAGGAGAACAGCAGCTTCAACAAGCTGGCCCTCTTCGATGGCGGCATGTCACCAACTCAAATGCTTGAGCACCTGTTGCAAGATGGAGTCGAGCATGTCAGCTGGCTCAGTTGCATGACGTCCATGTCCAACATCAAGAATTTCATGCTCTTTGGCGACTTGCGGAAAGGCGGCCGTGGCTGGAGAGCTGGCTTGGGGGTCGTCACTTCAGCCAGGTGTCGATTTTTGCCAGTGGAAGGAGGAGCAATCAACTGGCACCAGGACTGACATGCTCAGGTTTGTTTGAGTGTTTGAGATGTTTGAGTCGGTCTGCCAATGTGTCGATGGCCTCTTCAGGACGATCCGAAGATTGTCGCGCTCGCCACCATCAATGAGTATGACAGATGGCACGAAAGGGCGTACATGGCTCCACATATATCTAGCTCGATTCATATCACATATAATGCATACGGTATACGTATATTTATGATAATAGTACACAGTACATAGCATATATATATATACATATATATATATATATATATATATGGCACCCCCCCCCCCCCCCGCCTCCCGCATATATGGTACCCCCCCTGGAATACTCAGGTTTTTGGCCAGAAATTGACATTTTGGCAGTAAAAATGCATGCAAAGCACACGTTCCAACTTCTAAAATCAGGCTCTAAAAAATGCACTCCTTTTTAGACATCAATTCTAGCATCGGTACTTAGTGCAATCCAGGATGTGCTAGCAAGTGCTAGCACGTCCTGGATTGAGGATTGAAGATTGAAGATTCTCAGACCACTTGTTCTGGAAATCTTCAATCTGTCCTTAGGACTAACTGGTATGTGCTAGCACGTGCTAGCACATCCTGGATTGAAGATTGAAGATTGAAGATTCTCTGACAACTCTCTCTGGGATTCTTCAATCTTCAATCTTCAATCCAGGATGTACTAGCACGTGCTAGCACATACCAGTTTGTCCTCAGGATGGATTGAAGATTTCCAGAACAAGTGGTCTGAGAATCTTCAATCTTCAATCTTCAATCCAGGATGTGCTAGCACGTGCTAGCACATCCTGGATTACTCTAAGTACATATTTGGAGAATTTCAGAAAGAGTTGTCAGAGAATCTTGAATCTCCCATCCAGATCCTGGATTGCCTTAAGTGCGGATTTGAAGAATCCAAAAGGCAGACTGGCAGTGCACGTTGTCAGAATCAAAATGTGGATGTGCACTTGCACTGCCTGCAATTGGCCAGGGGAAAAAGTTACTGACACCGTTACATTTTTTTGTGGACTTGAGGGCTGGCCAGGACGGAAGATCCTCAAATAGAAAATCTGGTAGATCTTCAATCTTCAATGCAGGGGGCGAAGCCTTGATGAGTCTAGAACAAATTGTCAAGTGTTTGGGGGACCAGGATTGAGTACATTCTAAACATATGTTTGTGGAATCTTGTATATTCGATGTTCGATCCAGGGCAACACGATCTGAGCAAATGCTGAACAACACTGCGTTTTACAGCATTTATGCAAAGAATATGATTTATGACTGAAAACACGTTCCTGTCATTGGCTTGGCTCAGTTCTTGCTTGGTTCAAACCACATGGAGTTCGAAGGACAATAACCCTTTCAAAATTGAGTTTGATTGCAAATTCATTTGGCCATGACAATAGCTGTCTTCTCCAGTTGATTTTTGAAATGCACAAGAAACTGCAAACGAGTAAACTTGAGTTTGGTTTGAACTCGAAAGCTTTTTTTAAACTGGATATTATTCCCTTACTTGAATTTCAATAGTTGTTAGTGGCGATGATGGAACCAACTTAGACAAGCAACGCACACACACACGTGGGATAGTTGCTTTGCAACATATGTTTCAATTAGACTGAACTAGCATGGCAGGAATTATGCACAACACTCGAGTTAACATGTAAATGCAACTGCGCAAGGACATGAATTAAGAATGAGTTCCTTTTCCCCGAGTTGATGTTTTGCTGAATTTCGCTGCCAAACAAAAGTAATAAACACCAAATAATAGGGCTGCTACAGGCGCGTTGAAGCTGCCAAAACATACTTTGCGCACTACTCCTGTACTGAACAGTTGTGTTTTTTTGAGCTGGAGCTGCCAAATTGCACTTTGCGTACTCCAATGTGACTTTAAGTGCACTTTGCGCACGCCAATGTGACGGTCACACAACTCGCAACTCCTAATCAACGTTGAGCTTAACTTCTGCTTGGTCAGAATTTGCATGGAGTTGAGTGTCCAGTTCATTTCAGAGTCTCGAGGCATTTATTTGTTACCCCCAGTCTGGCCAAAAACCCCAGTTCTGTCCAAAAACCTGAGTATTTCAAGGGGGGGTAGCATATATATATATATATATGCCCCCCCCCCATGGACCCTGGTTTTACTGCCTTTTGGGGATGGCAAATCTAGAATTTCAATATTTATATTCTCGAATTTTCCAATTGTGGGTCCCCAAAGTGTGACAATTTGGAGCCCGGAGTCCTCCACAAAGTCCCAGTATGATACCCTTTCCAAATAAGATGTTACTTCAACTAGAATTGGAATTTTGAATACAGTTTAGTAAGGATATAGATTTCAAAAATGTGTTTATGTTCAATTACAGCTGAAACAAGCAAATCCTTTCCAAATAGCAGCTACATGAAAATGTAAATATATATATGTTCGGCTAAACTCCAACTAATCTATAACACAAGAAGTTAGATGGAAGGTTTTTCCAAATATAATCAGTGTTACATATAATCTAAGACGAACACAACTCAATTTGCTTTTGATAATATCAAGTGAATAGAGACTACATCTCAAATATAATTCATATTAAATATGGCTAAACATTTAAGGGACTTCTACAAGGAAATTCAAAATACGATTTGTGTTATTAACATTCTGGCCCTTTTGTAGCATAAGAAAGGTCCGACATCGAACAAAGGGACATTTGAAGGGAAGAGAGGTTCAAAATCTAAAACTATCTCGAAGCAGGGGTTCTAGCTAAACCATTGTATTTAAAGTTACATTTGCGCAGGAAAGTTAATTCTATCCCAAAAGGTGGAGGTAGTAGATGAGCAAATGTGGATAGGTAGTTCAAGAGGGTGGGGGACGGTGTGTGAACGTACATACATATGTATATCTATATATACACATACATACACACATATATAGTACCCCCAATGATCCTGCGCCTGCTCATAAAAACTGGAAATTGCGGTATTTTGAGCGTTACACCTGCCTTTGTTTACCTCCTGGAAAGGGGTCAACATGATCATACCTGACATGAAGCTCACCAAAAGCACTTGAAAGTTTGTCTAACCAATAACTTGAAAGTGTGTCCACTGGATCGCTAAGCGCTTGAAAGTATGCTACTATCGGATGGAAGATTGAAGATTGAAGATTACACAGAAAACCTTCCTGAGAACTGTCAATCCTGGCCAAACCCAAATAACATTCAACTTCTTCTAACACTTGAAAGTGCTTTACCACTGGATTGGGGATTCAATAATGAGGAGCCCACAAGCCACCACTTTCCTGAGAATCATCCATCCTGGTCAACACCTAAAATGTTCAAGTTGTTCTATCACCTCGAACATATTTTGCCACTGGATTGAATTATTTCACGGAACACTTTTCCGAGAATCTTATTGAACACCGAGAGTATTGGGACAACACTGAAATGTCTAAAACTTTTTACAAATTATGGGATTGAAGATCCAAGATTCAAGATTCCCAGAAAATATTTTCTCAGATTCTTGAATCTTGAATCTTGAATCCATAAATTTTCAAAAACTTTTAAAACATATGGGATTCAAGATTCAAGATTCTGAGAAAATATTTCCTGGGAATCTTTAATCTTGAATCCCAGAATTGTTGAAAATATTTAAAAATGTCTGAGTTGTTCTTATATTCTTGGATGCATTCAAACTCTTTCAGATTGCAGATGCTGATGTCATTGCTTTTATCACATCTGTATGCATGCATGCGTATCATATACATGTATGACCCCCCCCCCAATTTTGACACAAATCCAAGAAGCAAAAAGAAAAATAAAACACTGCAAAACAGGTCAAGCGCACCAAACCAGGGTCCATGGAGGGGGGGTACCATATATATATATATATATGTACATTTATGTGCGCGTGTGAGCAAGTGAGCCCGGATAGCCTGCCGGATATACTGCCTCTGTGCTTTTGAGAGAGATCCTGCGAAAGAATGAGCAGGACAGTCTTAGCCTGCGAGTTTGTGATTCACCAGAAGTCCCTGGGGTTGGTTGGGCGCAGAGTCGTGAAGCCAGGCGAAGCGTTTGCGAGTGCGAGCGCGCACGAGGTGGCCCTGGACCACAGAGGCTATGCCCATTTGTACCAGTACACGCCTCACAGCGATGGCCGCGAGGGGGACCGCGATGGCCGAAGACGGAAAGGCAAGGCGAGCGAGAGCCGCGAGAGCCGCCTTCGCCAGGACCAGCTGCTCCGCAGCTGTGCCACCTTCGCGATGGGCGCGCCCTGCCGGGCTGCCTTGAGGCCGGGAAGACCAAATTACTTTGCCACGCTTCGCAGAGTCGCAGGCTGCAGACCGAGCAAGGCATTCAAAGCTTGCCGGCAGCCTCAACATGCCAACCTTGGAGACTTGCATTCGAATGAGGTTCATGGCTGGTGTTGGTGGGGAGCTCTACTGCATCCGTCCGATTGATGACCAGGAGATGCTTCGATACATATCCATGTTCTGCCTATACAACTCATCAGTTTTTTTTTGCCAGGCTTACCGCACGATCACTACCCTTCTCGGAATGCTCTTCACCCGCCGCGGCCTTTTGGGTTACCAAGACGCAGAGCACAGGCAGAGTTGCCAGGCCTGCCCTTCTGCTGCGGGCTCAACCCCAGGCAAATTCCTTGCGCGTGCAATCACAAAAGCATCCTGTCATGCGATCGGGTTGCCAGGGCCTTTCGGAGCGACAACGCAGCGACGTTGCTTACGCCGCGGAAGAACATTGAGGAGTGCAGTTGCGGTGTTTGTCGTTGGGTGCGCTGCGCCGGTCTGATCTGCCCGAGGATGCCGTGTTGCTGCGGCACTTCGCTTTCCTCAGCCAGCCGCTGCAGGGCTCCATTGCAGAGAAGATGCGGCGCGGAACACGGAGCTAGGGAGACAAATAGACCAGACTGAAAGACAGTGGGCAATGGCGACCGACGGAGATGGTGTGCATTGCTTGTGCAAGCTGCACGGCCGAGCAGTGGGCCCGCACGTGCTCTGCGGGCATGGAGCTTGCAGAGTATCGGCACTTGCCAGGGAGCCTAAGCCACACGCAAGAGAGGCACCCCAGAGCATCGCAACAGAACCATACTCAAAACAAGGCAAATCCAAGCCTCCACTCGACTCGACTGGCCATGGCGCGTGTGCGCCGCTGGCTCTTGCTCGTCGTTCTGGCAGTGGCGCACTCAGCCTTCGAGAAATCGAAGCAATGCTCTACTCCGAGGTGCCATGGCGGAGGGCTTTCCTGGCCTTGCCGAGCCTCCGGCCTTCGCCCTCGAGCCAGTCAAGCCAGTCAAGCCAGTGGTCAGAAGAGAGGAGCCTCACTTTTGATGGCTCCATTGCCTTTGCGCCTCTTTGATCCTTTCTGCATTTGCTTGCAGGAGTGAGGCAGAGCATGTGTCCTGGCGCACATGCATTCCGAAAGGATCAAAGGCAGTTCCCACTGAGGCGCCCGCGTCACAGCATGCCCTTCGCTTCCGCAAGCTGCTTCAAGGCGATGCGCTTGGGGTGTGGGCGCACGCGCTTGATTTCAGTGGTGCGGGTTGGGCAGCGTAATCCACCAACTCCCACATCACCCGCTTTGTCCGCATCACCCGCATCACCCGCATCATCCGCATGCGTTGCTTTGCCTTCATCTCCCGCATGACCCGCGTCTCCTGCATCACCTGCATCTCCCACCTCTCCCGCATCATTGAGCATCACCGCCATCGCCCACATCATCCACATCTGCAGCATGACCCAAATCTCCTGTATCACCTTCATCTCTGGCATCACCCTCACTTCTGCATCGCCTGCATCGCCTGCATCACCCGCATCATCCATATCACCCGCTTTGTCCGCATCAGCGGCATTGTCCGCATCAGCGGCATTGTCCACATGAGCCGCATTGTCCACATCTCCCGCATCTCTTGCATCATCCGCATCACCGGCATGATTCCCATCACACGCATCACCCCGCATCATCCGCATCACTCACATATCCCGCATTGTGCTTGCATCACCACGATGCAGTGGGTGGCTGCAACTCAAAGGAAGATACGCCCATCTGTATTCTAGGCACGACAGGTTTAATAATTACTGAGAGTCCAGCCCAAGTGGAAGGATACAGGTGATGCCGGCAGACCATAGACTATCGGTTGGAGTGATAGGTCATTAGCAGAGCCGGACAAATAGGATGATCTTGCGGATGCATCGAACAGCGGAGCTGTTTGATCCTGATGCAGTGCGTGATTGCGAGGCACATGCAAGCATGGAAAGGCACTGAGCTTGGGAATAGCAAGCCAGAATCAGACAACAGATGGGGATGAGGCTGGATGGGCCCACATTTCCAACAGCACAGAACAAACGAGTTTCAAAGTGCATCCAAATTGGGTTCTTGACATATGATGGAGATGTTTCTGAACAACTGCATGTGACAATACGGAATCAGAGGAAGTCGCGGATCGAAAGTGCCTTTCATCCCGCTCAAGAGGCGCAAACCGAACGCAGCTTTATGGGCAGGAAATCAATGGAACCCGTGCCCAACCCAAGAGCCCCATTATCTATGCTGACAAGCGTCGGATTCTCAGGGTTCAGGTATCGTGCAAGCATAAGATTTGACTCAACCGGGACAAGCGCAGAAGCTGAATTCAACTGCTCAAATGGTTGCTTTCTATCGTTATTTCATGAGTGCTGACAAAATTGTGGACAACACAAGTATGAACGTGACAGACAGTGCTCAGACATACTTTTCGCTTGGCCTTTGTGTGGACTGTCAAAAGAGCGCACTACCGTAGAGTATCGGACACCTCAGAAGTCTGAGAATTGCAGGTGAGGGAAGCCTTCCTTGGTTTGTCGACCTGTGCTTTGCACGAGGCCTGAGCTGCAGCGAGGAACAGCTGGCCTTTGTTGAGGGCGCTCGACTGCGGCAGATGCTGCGCGGGGTGTCGGCCATTTCCAACTCTGAGCCCGTTGCGCCCCGGATCTTTTTTCTCACTCCGCTTTTGGCATGGGATTCTTCTGGATCCCAGATCCCATGCTCAAAGTCGTGTGAGTCACTGAGGCCTTAGCCTTTGAGACCCTTTACGAGGACTTGGCACCAGTTCGCTTCGCCTGCGATGTCCTTTATTGGCGCCTGGAGCGACCTCTTGCAGATGCTGCGGCCTGCCAGAAATGTTTCAGTCGCAGAGTTAATGTAGGCCATGCCCAATACAAGGCCGAAACAACCACCGATGTGTGCGGGCACGTTCAAGGATGCACTTCACAAGCCATCAATAGCTCTGCACGAACCAGCATGGCAACCGAACAGAAACTCCCACAGGACAGGTTAGCATGACAAACCCACATGCTACGCAGGAAGGGCCGTCTCAGGCAGACTTGAACTGGGGGCGAGCCGGGCCGAGCCGCACCTGTCAATCAGGTTCTCAGAACTTTCCATGCTGTACCTGTTCCTCTTTGCCCGCTGCCGATTTTGGGCGGGTGTGATTTGAGCTTGCAACCCAAGGCTCATCACTCGACTGCTTTACCTGTGGAGCCCGCAAGCACTGCTGACTTAGCTGCAGCGCGAGAGCTCTTCGAAATCTTGGACCGAGTAACTCGACAAGCAAGACTCATAGGTGGTGGCTTTCGCATCAGTGGCTTGTAGTGGCTCGTTGGACAGGCTTGTTGTGGTTTGTGGCTTCGAGTCTCACACCAGGATGGCAGTGGCACTTTGAATAGGCCTGCGACTGCGCATATGAATTTGGTCTCTGGATGTTAGCGCCTCACTGAATCACGACTTGGCACCTGCGATCTTGCCAGGGATGAGCTGTTGTCCAACGCCTTGCTGCGATCACTGGGCCACTGTGAAGGTTGCACCTGCGAAGGCGAGCTCTCGGCGAGCTATCGGCAAGCCGCCCGTTCAGTTGCCCTTCGGCCCTTCGGGCGAGGCATTCACAACTGCCGATCTGTGGACAAGTTCATGCAGGAATTGGATGCAGATGGCCGCTTGTCTCACTTGTCTCACAGTTGCCATGAGGTGCCCGCATTTTGGTCTGTGATTCTCTTTCAGGTGATGGGTCCATCACATTTCTGGAATTCATGGTTTCAGCATCACGGGTTCTGTTTGGATCCTCGGCCAGCAAGAGGAGGAAACTCACTTCCCCCCTGTGGCCTCTCCATTTGCCTGATTCAGGCGGCCGCAGTGTTGCTGAAGCGCCTTGGCCGAATTTAGAGCCGCGACAGCCAATGCCTCGATGCCTCGATGCCTCGATGCCTCGATGCCTCGATGCCTCGATGCCTCGATGCCCAGGCAGGATCCGAAGTGATAGAGGCTTTGCTTCAGGAGAGAGGCCAGCAGGAGAAGTCCAAAGAATTGGAGAGGCCGAGGAAGTTGCTTGGAATTGAAGCCAAACCCTGGATTGCTAAAAGATGGGACATTCCCTTCAAATGGATAGAAGCAGCCGCTCTTTTCATTCCTTGTATACTGTCCGACACCTTCTTTTCGCAAGAATTTCGTTGTGATTCAAGTGCTTTGACCCACGTGGCATTGCTCGATGTGCCCAAGCACGCCCCATCGATGTTTGTGACTTACCTCTTGTTGCAACCACTATTCCATTGATAGTGACAGTTCAAATGAACCGCAGGCGGTTTCAGGGCATCCTGGAGACGGTGCGGAGTTGGGAGGGCACCGAAGCAAGCCGAAAGGCGGGCCGGCGCGGCATGCAAGCGGATGGAAGCGGATGCAAGCGAGAGCGCGAGGTGCTGGATTCGAATTCCACAGCCGCAGGACGGGTGCTGGCAGGATTGTACCACAGCTGCAAAGCTGCAAGCCCCTGTTCGCTTCTCATTTCCACTCCGAGGCTCGAGGGCGCAAAGATTCCACAGCTGGCTGACGCCTTGCAGGCCCTTTTCCTTGCTTTACAAAGAAACCTCTTTTTCTTTTGCCAGCCTCGGGGCTTTTCGTGAGGTGATGTATGTCGACTATTTCCCTCTTCGAGTTGGCGGTGCACCTTGAATGCAGTTCTGAGAGGGGGCTTGCAAGCTGTGGCGCCACTGTTTGACTTGAGGATTTGATCTTCAAGATTGCCAAGAAGCACATGAGCGACAATGGCTTATGATCAGCTCTTGGACTGGTGTTCCAAAGTGTGCCCAGGAGACGCACAGCCCCAAAGAAGCAATTTGCCGCGCCACAGCATCATTTGATGCTCTTTGTAGTCGAGCCCAAGCGAAGCCGGTCCACTTCAAAGAAGGGATGCCATGGCGCGGTGCTATGCTAAGACTCATTTTCCAGCTCCGACAAATGCCGTGGAGCTAAGCTTGTGCCAGTACAGACGTGTCTGAGGGGCGAAAAAGCTGTGCCTCATGCCTTGTCCTGCGCAATGCAAACAATGACGATGCGAAAGATGGCCAACCTTTGCTCCTGGAGGCTGCCTGTCTCGGCGTTGATGAGAGCGACGGCCCCCTATGGTTCAAGTATCATGTCGTGAAAAAGCCGCGCTTTGCTCCTTTGTGCCTTTGTGTTTGCCTGCCTGATCATGTCTTGACAATTCAAGTCTTTCGCAACACCGTGACAGGCTCAGAGACTGCTTGGTAACATAAATGATGCGGCGAACGTTTGCTCGGCCCAATGCGGCACAGAGCCAACCCCAGCCAACCCCAGCCAACCCCAGCCAACCCCAGCCAACCCCAGCCAACCCGAGCCAACATGCCAGAATGACTCTTGAGCGCCTGCAGCGCACATAGATGGCCGCAGTCAAGGTACAGGCCGTCATGACACGCACACGACGGGGTGTCCGCTGTGTGGTGAGATGTTTTGCAACGTGAGGCTGGAAGCTGCCAGCGATGTTTGCCGCCCTTACGGGGCAGATAGTGAAGCTGGGGAAGGCAAAGCGCTGGGCGGAGTCGCTGCAGCTGTGGGCAGATCTTCGAGCCAGGGACAATTCGGAGAGGCTGGCCTGACTGAGAGGCTTTCAAGGCTGAGCGGAGGCGCTTGGTTCGTGCCACGTGGATCAGGCTGGTCTTCGCCAAGTGCGCCGTCATCGCGGCGTGCGGCCTTGCAACGCAGTGGCAGCTGTCCCTTCATCTTATTTCCGATCCTTGTCCATGGGAGAACAGGTCTCAGGATCTAGTGCAAGTGCCAAGCTGAGGACCTGCCGGTGGATGACGCCTGCTGCTGCGCGGCCATCTCTGCCTGTGACAAGGGCCTCGAGTGGGAGCAGGCCGCTGTTGGCAAGCCCTGCAATGCGCATGCAAAGCGCCCAGGCCCTCGCAGTTTTTGACCAAATGCCACGTCTCCAGCTGCTGCCAAGCACGCACAGCTACAACGTCCGCACCCTGGCCTTCAAGGAAAACTGAGTAGCCACGATCTCTTTGAGGCCACGATCTCTGCCTGCACCCGCTGTGCGCGCCCGAGCGGCGTTTGAGTCATTTATTCATTCCAGTCTCTTCGTCATTCCAGACCTAAGCCCCAGACCTTCATTCTTCTCGTTATTGACTTTCTCGCTATTAACTGTTCTGAAATCTGAAAAGTTTATCAACTTTCTTTTCTGAAAAGTTTCCCGAGGCGCTGGCCCCGGGCTCTGGCACTCTTTGAGTGCGTGCCACGGCCCAACGCGGTGGTCTTCAACACCACCATAGCGGGCTGCGGCAAGGGCCAGTTCCTTGGCCCGCAAGACGCGCCCCGAGACGTCCCGAGACGTTTCGTGCTGCTTTTCGCTTGACACGATGCATATCGCAACATCGGGGAGTCGTATAGCGCAGCACGGGGGTCCAAATTGATGGAACGCTTTAAGCAAAGTAGTTTCAATTATGATACAGGTTTGATGTTTAAGAGAAGGGGTCTGACTGAGTTTGGGGGGTATGCAGTTTTTCTGAAAAGTTGCTTTTGGGGAGGTGTTGCGATGCGAGGCAGTGGCACTGGGCCATGCATCTGTTTTCGCAGATGCGGCAGGCAGGTCAACGCCCGGATGCGGTGACATACGGCTCCCTGGAGCTTCGCTCGCACTTGGCCCAATTTGATTTGCCACGTTTTGATTGACGATACCCAGGCGAGCACCTTTGAACGTGTCAGTGAGTGGGAAAAAGCTCTGGCACTGCATGGGGAGATGGTGTCTGCCAATGCTTTGGATGCAATGTCCTACGGTGCACTGGTTAGTGCCTGCGAACGCACCTTGACTTATGGAATCCACAGATTCAGTTGCAAGAGCCCCAAGCAAGAGCCCCAGCAGCTCAGCCAAGGGGGACGCCGATGGCACGAGGCTGCCATGCGTGCCATGCGTGCCACGAATCGGCAGCGCTCAGCACAGGGCTTCTTGCGAGGCACTGGACTTCTTGCGAGAGATGAAACGAGGGCTGCTGCGGCCTGGCGCGGTGGTGCACGGTGTGGCTATTGGCGCCTGCATCAAAAGCCAGCGACTGGAAGAAGGTGATGGTTTTAGTCTGTTTGGATCTGGTTTTTTTCAGTCTCGCGATGGTGCGCAGGCCTTGTGCTTTATCGCAGCATCCTTGCGCCTCACCACATCACCAGCAGCAACTTGGCGAATTCACGCACGCCTTTGGCACTCCGGCACGCCTCTAGCCTGCCACTTGGCCCCAGGCAGCTTGGTAGCCGCCTTGGCCGCTGCAGGGCGCTGGGCGGAGGCTGTGCAACTGGCCAGCCAAACTCAGCTGCAGCTCGGCGTGACTTTCGCCGCATTGCAACTTTGCGACTTTCGAGTGAGGACAGCCACGGCTCTGGTTGCCGGGCTTTCTGCTGCGGAAACCTTGGGTGACTGGCAGGAGGGGTGGCCGGGTGGCCGGAAATCGGAGATAGAGAGGTCACACACGCAAAGGCAGCCGTGGAGATGCTGAGCCAGTGGCGCCGGACCTCTGGTAGGCACTGGGCACAGCTGGGCTCAGGGCCAAGTTCTGAGCTGTCGGAGGCCGCCCCTCCGTGCTCTGCTGCGTGGCGCTACGGCTGCCGGTGCGTACGGCGAGCAGTTGCTGGAGGAGGCTGATGTCTCTCAGAGCCGGTTTCTAATTGAAATCGTATTTGGCATTCGGCAGGCAGGCAGGTAGGCAGGGCAGGGAGGGCACAGGGCAGGGCAGGGCAGGCGAGCGAGCTAGCGGCCGAGCAACGTCCCACACCAACTCTTAACCCGCGTCCGATCAACCCTGAAACAGTCCCTCAACCAATCCCAACTGCTCCTGAATCCAACCCAAAACACGCCAACCAAGTCCCAAACCGATATGGTCACCAATGCAACCTAAATCCACCCCGAAGCCGCCCCAAGTCACAGCAAGATCAACCTCTAAACCCACCCAATCCCCGAAAGCATCGCCACATCAACCCGTCAGCCATCCTGAAACCGTCAGACGACACCTGAAGCCACCCTCCTCAGCCCAGCCGTTACGGTCATGCAATCATTTTTTAATCTTAATCAAGTCCGGGAAAGGCTAAGAGACCCTCAAAGGCACCGACCGCATTCGGGGCCACGGAGGCTGGAGAGCTGCTGCCCTTCTCAGACGTGCTTCAAGAGCACAATTCCGCCATCACCGCGGCGGAGCGCTGCAGGCGAGCGGAGCATCTCCAAGCCGTTTGGGTTTTGGGCTGTGAGCTCGTCTCTCAGGACTCTGTGCTTTTGTCTAACTTCTGTTTTCTGAGGTTTGAAAGTCAAGGTTTCAAGCCTGTGGCAGTGTGGCTCAAGCGCAATGGACTTGCTCCGTGCAGCACTCGCCCTGCTGAATGACCGCTACTTCCAGGCGAGTTTCATGTAGTAGCACTCTCGTGTAGTCCTCAATTGCCCACGTTCATGAGTTTTGTCTGGTAGGTTTGTTGCTATCAACGGAGTCTGAGAGCCGCTTCAACATCCGCGGCATGCAGTCATAGCTAGCCAAACTTGCCTACTGTGCACACACCGTCATGCACTTGTCCATCATTGCTTTTCATTTGTTTGCTTGCTTCGTTTCCCTTTTCTGCATTCACGCCCATACCAACTCTCCCTGGCTCATCACACATTATTTTCCCACGTTAGAGCTTAAGTGAGGTCCTCCGCAACCCGCCCGCCACAGATGTGACACACAGACAAGCAGACAGACAGACAGACAGACAGACAGACAGACAGACAGACAGACAGACAGACAGACATACATACATACATACATACATACATACATACATACATACATACATACATACATACATACATACATACATACATACATACATACATACATACATACATACATACATACATACATACATACATACATACATACATACATACATACATACATACATACATACATACATACATACATACATACATACATACATACATACATACATACATACATACATACATACATACATTGTATTGCATTGCATTGCATTACATTGCGTTACATTGCGTTACATTGCATTACATTGCACTACATTGCATTACATTACATACATACATACCTACATACATTCACATCTGTCTGTCAGGTCTGTCTGTCGCAGGCTCTGTCAAAACTCTGTCATAAGCTCTGTCACATCTGTCTGTCAGGTTTGTGCTGTTACAGGCTCTGACACAGCTGTCTGTCATAGGCAGTGTCACATCTGTCTGTTCGCTGTCTGTCACAGGCTCTGTGTCTGTCTGTGTCTGTCTGTCTGTCTGTACGTATGTATGTATGTTTGTAGTACGTACGTAGGTATGTATGTATGTATGTATGTATGTGTGTGTGATGCATGTATTCATGTGTGTATGTTATGTTATGTATGTATGTAATGTAATGTAATGTAATGTAATGTAATGTATGTATGTATGTATGTATGTATGTATGTATGTATGTAATGTATGTAATGTATGTAATGTATGCAATGTATGTAATGTAATGTAATGTAATGTAATGTAATGTAATGTATTGTATTGTATTGTATTGTAATGTATGTATGTATGTATGTATGCATGCCTGTATGTATGTATGTATGTATGTATGTATGTATGTATGTATGTATGTATGTATGTATGTATGTATGTATGTATGTATGTATGTATGTATGTATGTATGTATGTATGTATGTATGTATGTATGTATGTATGTATGTATGTATGTATGTATGTATGTATGTATGTATGTATGTATGTATGTATGTATGTATGTATGTGTGTGTGTGTATGTATGTATGTATGTATGTATGTATGTATGTATGTAATGTATGTATGTATGTATGTATGTATGTATGTACAAAGAGGGCCCGCAACTGCGAAGCCGGTCATGTCTGCGAAACCGGGTCCATTTTCCACAACCGTCCGTGCTATCAAAATGACACCCGCTGCGCAGCGAAAGAGAGCTAACTTTTGCCACACACACAGGCACGCTCCAGCAGCCTCCCCGCACCCCTCCAAATCAATGTTGGCTGTCCACATCCTGAGACCTGCTAGAATTTATAACATTGACTTAGGGTCCGGGGTTTGTACCCAGGCGTTCAAAACATATCAAGCCGTAGTGATTCGTAGAACGATTGGTGTGCTCCGCAACATTGACTTAGGGGTCAGGGGTTTCTACCTACGCTTTGAACACATTCCTAGTCGTCGGGGTGTGCAGCAACATTGACAGACCCGTGAGGATGTGGGGATTGGCACGAGTATTCATTAGGCGTGTTAGACACCTTGCGCTCCGAGCGTCAGATGTCTGTATACGCCCAGTCATGCGTGCCAGTGTGGCGGCACAAAAAGATGCATAGGTCACACAAGGAGGTCTTGCTAAGACTGGTCTCACTTGCTACAATCAACATCACAAGCACTAATCCTACACGTGTATTTCCTGATAAGCCGCCTGCCACCCAGGACACTGAAACACGACGCGCTAAACAAGTGGGAACCCTGCCTCAGCAAATTGGGGAACGTTCTTGCCCCCCGACAACACGAACATCGCAAAACAGCGTGTGCATGGCGGGATGTCCTATGCTGAAAATTGTAAATGGTGAGCCTGGCCCTAAGCATGAGCAATTCACTCTCGCTCCAGCGTCCTCGTGGCACGTGCAACGACTGCCAATTACACGTAATGAACGTGGGTTGTCTTGGACGATAGTCCAGGTGCCCATTGTATAAGTTCAAGGGCCGGCTGATGCGTAGCGTGCTGCCCTCTAGCCAAAGCAGGCAAGAAGACACATCTAGCACTCCAGTATCGGGTCTCCAGTCGTCCAAAATCACGCATTGCGCGTGAGGAAGGTCTAAAAGAGGATACGAACCTCGAGCTGGCGAAGAGAAAACCTGGGCTTCTGTGCATATATCATGCTAATCTTTTCAATCATCGGAAAGTGGCCATGTTGGGAATGCAACCATCATTCGTTCGTCTGCAGGAAAAACGTTGCTCATACCGAAAGCACACCACATTGCTCTGCAAGAAAAGTATACAACTTTTCCGTGAATTGAAGTTCTTTTTTGACACTGGTTTCTAACCTTGCGCCGGAAAGCAAGAAAAGTGTGATGCTGAAGCAGGCGCCCAGGCGCTTGTGGAAATATCAGAGAGAGTGGTTTCAAAATGAAACTCTTCCCCTCGTTGCCGGAGCCAGCAAAGCAGAGGGCGTCCCCTTTCTTCTGCAAGCCGGAGAAAAGTGCAGACTTCACATGTTCGCAAAGGTTCGCCTCATTGATGCCGTTATTGACAAGAATCTCCCGAGCTGCTGAAGCCCAAACGCATTCGCAGCGACACGGCTGCGCCAAGGCGGAAGTGAAGCGCTGCCAAGCATTCGTTTCCGCTTCTGCGACAGCTCGGTCACATGTCTCCAAAGCGCAACACATCTCCACCTTCTGTCTGATCTGCCCACTGTTGGCAAATAGATAGTTGAGGAGACGCTCGTTGCCCGAATCACGGCCATGCTGAAGCAACCTTGCCAGCAGCACAGGGTCATCTGGCTGTACTCCAAGGTGCTTCACAATCGGCCACAGCTCGAGGTCTGCGAATTTGGCGGGTTTCTGTTTGCCCGCAGTGTAACGCTGCAAAAAGCGCTCTGCAACTTTCTCTTCAATCGCAGCACTGTCCAGCGCGCCGTTGATTGCATCCAAAAGCGGCGGATGCTTGCGGCCCCCAGAGCAATACAATAATGGGTCCTTGTCCAAGGCTGACAAACCTTTCTTCTCACTCGGCAACCAAAGGTACCGCAACATGTAAGCATCTTGGAGCTTTCTGTGCTTGCTGTGATCATCGATAGACATGTTTGCAAAGTGGGCTACATATCCGGCTTTCGCCAGCTCCCTCTTCCATCCAGCCAAGCGACAAGGCACTGACAGCGCTGTGGCCACATGTAAATGCCACTGTCCACTGCAGTGCTGCTCACGAAACACACCTGCGTGGGTGATGTAAGCAGTCGAACCGTAATCTGCAATGTCAAACGCTTTCAAAACAGCATCTAAAATGGTCTGCCTCGTGGGGGCGCTGGAGGGGTCCAGGTTGGAGAAGGTGAGCAAGTAGGTCTTTTGCACACACTGTGAGTCTATTGTGGCTGGCCGCCCAGAAGCAAGCTGTGGTTTCTTCACAGCAGAAAGCAATTGCGGCACCACGGCCATTGTAGCTGCTATGAAAGCGTCCTTTTCTTGAACAAGCTCAGCCGTTGAGATTTTGCCATTTGCTTTTGCCAAGACATCGTCCAAAACAACTTTGATTGAGATGCTGTGGAGCTGCTCGTCTGTTTTCTGCCGAATCACTGCTTCCACCAAACTCCGAACAGTTTTGCACTTGCCAAGCAACTGCCAACGAGCTGCAGGGTCTGCACTTTCGCTTTCGGCAACTGGAAGGCGATTTGCAGGTTCTGCACTTTCGGCTTCGGCAACTGGAGGCAGATCCTGCACTTTCGGCTTCGGCAACTGGAGGCAGATCCGCAGGATCTGCACTTTCGCTTTCGGCAACTGGAGGCTGCTTAAAAAGCAACCTGCGCCGCTTCGTGGGCGCCGCTTCATGTGCACCGCCTCACTTCATGGCTTCCAATCAGGCACGCGCGTGCGTGTGAATTTCGACAAGGCATGCTCAACAGTGGTTTTAGAAACTGGGTTGTCTCCTGTTTTTTCACAACAACGCTCTAAACGAAAAAGAATCCACCGAATTCGTCATACTCAGTGACCCTGCTCCAAAAAACTGCGGCTTTCGTCTAACATCATCCATCCGTGAAAAAGTCTGGGCCGGGCTGGGGAGCAGACAAACACAGACAGACAAGCAGAGACAGAGAGAACAAACAACAGGAACACAAAGACAGAGACGACGACACAGACACAGACACAGACCATCAAGAAAACGCAAGAGAGAAGGCAAGGCGGAGAGAGAGAAGGAGGAAGAAACACAAGAACAACAGCAGCAACAGCGGCGGCAGCAGCAGCAGCGGCAACAACCAGAAGAAGCAGCCACAGCAACAGCGACACCAAAACAAGAGCAGCAAGAGCAATCAGCAAAAACCGCAAGGCCAACAACACACAAGGGCAGCAGCAACAACGACAGAGAGAAAAAGCAAAAAGGCCAACAACACACAAGGGCGGCAGCGGCAGCAGGAGCAGCCGCAGCAGCAGCAACCGCAAGCAAAAGCAAACCAAGGCGCCGCTGCTTGTAGAGCTCCACGTCGATGTAGGCACCTGAGCAGGGCAGCAGAGAGGGAAACACAAGCGAGGGGGAAACAGAGAAGAACAGAAAGAGACGAAGAGACAGGACAGAGCAGACAAAGACAGAAAGACGGCAGAAAACAAAAACACCAAGACAGCAGAAGACAAAGACGGAAAGACAATGGTGCTCCCAGCCACGGCCTAGCACGCCAGTCAAGTCCGCATTGACAGCAACATGTCCGAAAACTCCAACTGCGTTTTTGTCGTTTCGGGGGAGAAAGGAAATCCTAGTCGTGTTGCACAAGGGCGCTTTGATAAATGCATTTCCATAAGTGCTGGATTCTCTGTAAAACCCACAGAGGAAACTAAGCAACATTCTCAAGCCAATGAAAGTCACCTGAGACCCATGTGAAACCCCGGAAATATATTGGGAAGACAATGCAAAAAACAAGGCAATGCTCAAACTAGGTTCCTCGGTTACAAAGCTCTTCCTCGAGGGTAGGCCCCAATTGTGTTTGCCTTTAAAGGAAGAAACCAGAAACCGATCGAAAAAGGGTAAGGCTTCAGGTGTGGAATCCCACTGTGAGGAGGTCAAATAAGGTTGAGATCCGGTGACATAAGGGCAAGGCGTCCGGGCTGCAATCCCACTGGAGTGGGGCCAAAAAAGGTTAAGAATGTCCAACATCAGAAACAAAAAAGAAGTAGAATAATCATTCTTTCTTTATCTCGGACATTGTTAACACTATTTGTCTCTATGCCTCTACGATTTGGTTCCAATGCCCTTAACATTATCTCGAGGGCTCTTCAGAGAAATCTCTCCCTGCCTATGCGGTTTGCAAAAAAGGCCTTAACAGTATTTCAATCGTTCTGTGGAACACACCACCCTTGCCCACAGGAAGCTGGCAGCGTATAGGGCTGGCTCTTCCCGCAAAGGATCAGTCATAGAGGGCTGCAAAGACGAGCCACACGGCTCGCGAACCACAAAGTGTTGCGGCTTGTGAGCCAGGCCTGGCGCCTTAGGCGCTAAAACTACTTGGCCTTTACTCCGCCAGGCAAGAAGACACATCTAGCACTCCAGTATCGGGTCTCCAGTCGTCCAAAATCACGCATTGCGCGTGAGGAAGGTCTAAAAGAGGATACGAACCTCGAGCTGGCGAAGAGAAAACCTGGGCTTCTGCGCATATATCATGCTAATCTTTTCAAGCGTCGGAAAGTGGCCATGTTGGGAATGCAACCATCATTCGTTCGTCTGCCGGAAAAACGTTGCTCATACCGAAAGCGCACCACATTGCTCTGCAAGAAAAGTATACAACTTTTTTCCGTGAATTGAAGTTCTTTTTTGACACTGGTTTCTAACCTTGCACCGGAAAGCAAGAAAAGTGTGATGCTGAAGCAGGCGCCCAGGCGCTTGTGGAAATATCAGAGAGAGTGGTTTCAAAATGAAACTCTTCCCCTCGTTGCCGGAGCCAGCGAAGCAGAGGGCGTCCCCTTTCTTCTGCAAGCTGGAGAAAAGTGCAGACTTCACATGTTCGCAAAGGTTCGCCTCATTGATGCCGTTATTGACAAGAATCTCCAGAGCTGCTGAAGCCCAAACGCATTCGCAGCGACACGGCTGCGCCAAGGCGGAAGTGAAGCGCTGCCAAGCATTCGTTTCCGCTTCTGCGACAGCTCGGTCACATGTCTCCAAAGCGCAACACATCTCCACCTTCTGTCTGATCTGCCCACTGTTGGCAAATAGATAGTTGAGGAGACGCTCGTTGCCCGAATAACCTTGCCAGCAGCACAGGGTCATCTGGCTGTACTCCAAGGTGCTTCACAATCGGCCACAGCTCGAGGTCTGCGAATTTGGCGGGTTTCTGTTTGCCCGCAGCGTAACGCTGCAAAAACAAAAACGCTCTGCAACTTTCTCTTCAATCGCAGCACTGTCCAGCGCGCCGTTGATTGCGTCCAAAAGCGGCGGATGCTTGCGGCCCCCAGAGCAATACAATAATGGGTCCTTGTCCAAGGCTGACAAACCTTTCTTCTCACTCGGCAAGCAAAGGTACCGCAACATGTAAGCATCTTGGAGCTTTCTGTGCTTGCTGTGATCATCGATAGACATGTTTGCAAAGTGGGCTACATATCCGGCTTTCGCCAGCTCCCTCTTCCATCCAGCCCAGCGACAAGGCACTGACAGCGCTGTGGCCACATGAGAATGCCACTGTCCACTGCAGTGCTGCTCACGAAACACACCTGCGTGGGTGATGTACGCAGTCGAACCGTAATCTGCAATGTCAAACGCTTCCAAAACAGCATCTAAAATGGTCTGCCTCGTGGGGGCGCTGGAGGGGTCCAGGTTGGAGAAGGTGAGCAAGTAGGTCTTTTGCACACACTGTGAGTCTATTGTGGCTGGCCGCCCAGAAGCAAGCTGTGGTTTCTTCACAGCAGAAAGCAATTGCGGCACCACGGCCATTGTAGCTGCTATGAAAGCGTCCTTTTCTTGAACAAGCTCAGCCATTGAGATTTTGCCATTTGCTTTTGCCAAGACATCGTCCAAAACAACTTTGATTGAGATGCTGTGGAGCTGCTCGTCTGTTTTCTGCCGAATCACTGCTTCCACCAAACTCCGAACAGTTTTGCACTTGCCAAGCAACTGCCAACGAGCTGCAGGGTCTGCACTTTCGCTTTCGGCAACTGGAAGGCGATTTGCAGGTTCTGCACTTTCGGCTTCGGCAACTGGAGGCAGATCCGCAGGATCTGCACTTTCGCTTTCGGCAACTGGAGGCTGCTTAAAAAACATGGGCGCCGCTTCATGTGCACCGCCTCACTTCATGGCTTCCAATCAGGCACGCGCGTGCGTGTGAATTTCGACAAGGCATGCTCAACAGTGGTTTTGGAAACTGGGTTGTCTCCTGTTTTTTCACAACAACGCTCTCCACGAAAAAGAATCCACCGAATTCGTCATACTCAGTGACCCTGCTCCAAAAAACTGCGGCTTTCGTCTAACATCATCCATCCGTGAAAAGTCTGGGCCGGGCTGGGGAGCAGACAAACACAGACAGACAAGCAGAGACAGAGAGAACAAACAACAGGAACACAAAGACAGAGACGACGACACAGACACAGACACAGACCATCAAGAAAACGCAAGAGAGAAGGCAAGGCGGAGAGAGAGGAGGAAGAAACACAAGAACAACAGCAGCAACAGCGGCGGCAGCAGCAGCAGCGGCAACAACCAGAAGAAGCAGCCACAGCAACAGCGACACCAAAACAAGAGCAGCAAGAGCAATCAGCAAAAACCGCAAGGCCAACAACACACAAGAGCAGCAGCAACAACGACAGAGAGAAAAAGCAAAAAGGCCAACAACACACAAGGGCGGCAGCGGCAGCAGGAGCAGCCGCAGCAGCAGCAACCGCAAGCAAAAGGAAACCAAGGCGCCGCTGCTTGTAGAGCTCCACGTCGATGTAGGCACCTGAGCAGGCAGCTGAAAGGGAAACACAAGCGAGGGGGAAACAGAGAAGAACAGAAAGAGACGAAGAGACAGGACAGAGCAGACAAAGACAGAAAGACGGCAGAAAACAAAAACACCAAGACAGCAGAAGACAAAGACGGAAAGACAATTGTGCTCCCAGCCACGGCCTAGCACGCCAGTCAAGTCCGCATTGACAGCAACATGTCCGAAAACTCCAACTGCGTTTTTGTCGTTTCGGGGGGAGAAAGGAAATCCTAGTCGTGTTGCACAAGGGCGCTTTGATAAATGCATTTCCATAAGTGCTGGATTCTCTGTAAAACCCACAGAGGAAACTAAGCAACATTCTCAAGCCAATGAAAGTCACCTGAGACCCGTGTGAAACCCCGGAAATATATTGGGAAGACAATGCAAAAAACAAAGCAATGCTCAAACTAGGTTCCTCGGTTACAAAGCTCTTCCTCGAGGGTAGGCCCCAATTGTGTTTGCCTTTAAAGGAAGAAGCCAGAAACCGATCGAAAAAGGGTAAGGCTTCAGGTGTGGAATCCCACTGTGAGGAGGTCAAATAAGGTTGAGATCCGGTGACATAAGGGCAAGGCGTCCGGGCTGCAATCCCACTGGAGTGGGGCCAAAAAAGGTTAAGAATGTCCAACATCAGAAACAAAAAAGAAGTAGAATAATCATTCTTTCTTTATCTCGGACATTGTTAACACTATTTGTCTCTATGCCTCTACGATTTGGTTCAAATGCCCTTAACATTATCTCGAGGGCTCTTCAGAGAAATCTCTCCCTGCCTATGCGGTTTGCAAAAAAGGCCTTAACAGTATTTCAAACGTTCTGTGGAACACACCACCCTTGCCCACAGGAAGCTGGCAGCGTATAGGGCTGGCTTCTCCCGCAAAGGATCAGTCATAGAGGGCTGCAAAGACGAGCCACACGGCTCGCGAACCACAAAGTGTTGCGGCTTGTGAGCCAGGCCTGGCGCCTTAGGCGCTAAAACTACTTGGCCTTTACTCCGCACGCCGAGCCAGGAGCCAAGCTAAGTCTCCAGTGGACAGGCCCGACGCCTTTTTCATGAGACGAGATCTGCGGCGAACCTGGCCAGAAGAAGGTTGCTCGGCTAAGCCGCGCTGCAACGGCATAGGCACCAACAGGTCAATCCGATTGTGGCCCGGGTGCCACTTCAGATCTAACAATCCCAAACCTGTCAGAAGGGGAAAAGTGAAAAGCGAAAAGAGCCGAAAAGAGTTGACACACATCCGTCGTACAAAAATGACTCTTTTGAACCTTGCCTCTTTGCGAATCTCCTGTGTTGATGTTTTCAGCTGCTGCTTCAGGACCGCCCTTGCCGCGCGTAAGGCTGGCAGCTGGTCTGGCCCATGCGTGCAAGGTGGCTGCGCGCTGGGCGTGCTGGCTGGCACAGCTGGGTTGGCCGCTGCGTCATCCGACATGCCGACGTCGAAAAAGAAGTCACAATGCACGCTAAACTCTCTTAGAGATTTGCACAAAAAGGCTGCAGAACCCTGAGCTCACGCGGGCTCGGTTTTGTCTTCTCGGAGTTGGGTCACCTTGTTGTCTGCCAACACGGCCACGGCTTCGGCGGCCACGGGCATGAGAAAAGGGACTTACGCCCTCCTGAATAAGGAAGATGAGAAAACGCACAATTTCTGAAATCTGGAAAGCCCCTAGGCATGTGACTTACTGTGTGAAACCTATGATTGAAGCAAACTTCTTTAAGGAAAAGCCCTTCCTCCAGAAGCATTTTTCTGCCTCGAACCTGCTGGGCAAGACAACTTACAAAGCAAGTGGCTGCTGGCTTGCCACGAAACGTCTGCTAGGCAAAGCAAGTCTTTGGAGCACGGTGGCTCTCCAAGGGCACACGTACAGCACTGTTGAAAGAGAGACACAAGCTGCGCGTCTTGCCATATATTGGCATCATCTCTTTGACAGCCTCCTGTGCCTGAAATGCAAGCAAGTACCATGAGTGCACACACACACACAAAGAGGGCCCGCAACTGCGAAGCCGGTCATGTCTGCGAAACCGGGTCCATTTTCCACAACCCTCCGTGCTATTAAAATGACACCCGCTGCGCAGCGAAAGAGAGCTAACTTTTGCCACACACAGGCACGCTCCAGCAGCCTCCCCGCACCCCTCCAAATCAATGTTGGCTGTCCACATCCTGAGACCTGCTAGAATCCACAACATTGACTTAGGGGTCCGGGGTTTGTACCCAGGCGTTCAAAACATATCAAGCCGTAGTGATTCGTAGAACGATTGGTGTGCTCCGCAACATTGACTTAGGGGTCAGGGGTTTCTACCTACGCTTTGAACACATTCCTAGTCGTCGACCCGTGAAAAAATGGGAATGGGCACGAGAATTCATTAGGCGTGTTAGCACACACCTTGCGCTCCGAGCGTCAGATGTCTGTATACGCCCAGTCATGCGTGCCAGTGTGGCGGCACAAAAAGATGCATAGGTCACACAAGGAGGTCTTGCTAAGACTGGTCTCACTTGCTACAATCAACATCACAAGCACTAATCCTACACGTGTATTTCCTGATAAGCCGCCTGCCACCCAGGACACTGAAACACGACACGCTAAACAAGTGGGAACCCTGCCTCAGCAAATTGGGGAACGTTCTTGCCCCCCGACAACACGAACATCGCAGGGATGTCCTTCAAGGTTTGGATTCTATGCTGAAACTTGCAAATGGTGAGCCTGGCCCTAAGCATGAGCAATTCACTCTCGCTCCAGCGTCCTCGTGGCACGTGCAACGACTGCCAATTACACGTAATGAACGTGGGTTGTCTTGGACGATAGTCCAGGTGCCCATTGTATAAGTTCAAGGGCCGGTTGATGCGTAGCGTGCTGCCCTCTAGCCAAAGCAGGCAAGAAGACACATCTAGCACTCCAGTATCGGGCTCCAGTCGTCCAAAATCACGCATTGCGCGTGAGGAAGGTCTAAAAGAGGATACGAACCTCGAGCTGGCGAAGAGAAAGCCTGGGCTTCTGTGCATATATCATGCTAATCTTTTCAAGCATCGGAAAGTGGCCATGTTGGGAATGCAACCGTCATTCGTTCTTCTGCAGGAAAAACGTTGCTCATACCGAAAGCACACCACATTGCTCTGCAAGAAAAGTATACAACTTTTTCCGTGAATTGAAGTTCTTTTTTGACACTGGTTTCTAACCTTGCGCCGGAAAGCAAGAAAAGTGTGATGCTGAAGCAGGCGCCCAGGCGCTTGTGGAAATATCAGAGAGAGTGGTTTCAAAATGAAACTCTTCCCCTCGTTGCCGGAGCCAGCAAAGCAGAGGGCGTCCCCTTTCTTCTGCAAGCCGGAGAAAAGTGCAGACTTCACATGTTCGCAAAGGTTCGCCTCATTGATGCCGTTATTGACAAGAATCTCCCGAGCTGCTGAAGCCCAAACGCATTCGCAGCGACACGGCTGCGCCAAGGCGGAAGTGAAGCGCTGCCAAGCATTCGTTTCCGCTTCTGCGACAGCTCGGTCACATGTCTCCAAAGCGCAACACATCTCCACCTTCTGTCTGATCTGCCCACTGTTGGCAAATAGATAGTTGAGGAGACGCTCGTTGCCCGAATCACGGCCATGCTGAAGCAACCTTGCCAGCAGCACAGGGTCATCTGGCTGTACTCCAAGGTGCTTCACAATCGGCCACAGCTCGAGGTCTGCGAATTTGGCGGGTTTCTGCTTGCCAGCAGCGTAACGCTGCAAAAAGCGCTCTGCAACTTTCTCTTCAATCGCAGCACTGTCCAGCGCGCCGTTGATTGCATCCAAAAGCGGCGGATGCTTGCGGCCCCCAGAGCAACACAATAATGGGTCCTTGTCCAAGGCTGACAAACCTTTCTTCTCACTCGGCAACCAAAGGTACCGCAACATGTAAGCATATTGGAGCTTTCTGTGCTTGCTGTGATCATCGATAGACATGTTTGCGAAGTGGGCTACATATCCGGCTTTCGCCAGCTCCCTCTTCCATCCAGCCCAGCGACAAGGCACTGACAGCGCTGTGGCCACATGAAAATGCCACTGTCCACTGCAGTGCTGCTCACGAAACACACCTGCGTGGGTGATGTAAGCAGTCGAACCGTAATCTGCAATGTCAAACGCTTTCAAAACAGCATCTAAAATGGTCTGCCTTGTGGGGGCGCTGGAGGGGTCCAGGTTGGAGAAGGTGAGAAAGTAGGTCTTTTGCACACACTGTGAGTCTATTGTGGCTGGCCGCCCAGAAGCAAGCTGTGGTTTCTTCACAGCAGAAAGCAAGCGCCGGCTGAGCTCTTGCGGCACCACGGCCATTGTAGCTGCTATGAAAGCGTCCCTTTCTTGACCAGCTCAGCCATTGAGATTTTGCCATTTGCTTTTGCCAAGACATCGTCCAAAACAACTTTGATTGAGATGCTGTGGAGCTGCTCGTCTGTTTTCTGCCGAATCACTGCTTCCACCAAACTCCGAACAGTTTTGCACTTGCCAAGCAACTGCCAACGAGCTGCAGGGTCTGCACTTTCGCTTTCGGCAACTGGAAGGCGATTTGCAGGTTCTGCACTTTCGGCTTCGGCAACTGGAGGCAGATCCGCAGGATCTGCACTTTCGCTTTCGGCAACTGGAGGCTGCTTAAAAAGCAACCTGCGCCGCTTCATGGGCGCCGCTTCATGTGCACCGCCTCACTTCATGGCTTCCAATCAGGCACGCGCGTGCGTGTGAATTTCGACAAGGCATGCTCAACAGTGGTTTTGGAAACTGGGTTGTCTCCTGTTTTTTTCACAACAACGCTCTCCACGAAAAAGAATCCACCGAATTCGTCATACTCAGTGACCCTGCTCCAAAAAACTGCGGCTTTCGTCTAACATCATCCATCCGTGAAAAAGTCTGGGCCGGGCTGGGGAGCAGACAAACACAGACAGACGAGCAGAGACAGAGAAAGCAAACAACAGGAACACAAAGACAGAGACGACGACACAGACACAGACACAGACCATCAAGAAAACGCAAGAGAGAAGGCAAGGCGGAGAGAGAGAAGGAGGAAGAAACACAAGAACAACAGCAGCAACAGCGGCGGCAGCAGCAGCAGCGGCAACAACCAGAAGAAGCAGCCACAGCAACAGCGACACCAAAACAAGAGCAAAAACCGCAAGGCCAACAACACACAAGGGCAGCAGCAACAACGACAGAGAGAAAAAGCAAAAAGGCCAACAACACACAAGGGCGGCAGCGGCAGCAGGAGCAGCCGCAGCAGCAGCAACCGCAAGCAAAAGCAAACCAAGGCGCCGCTGCTTGTAGAGCTCCACGTCGATGTAGGCACCTGAGCAGGGCAGCAGAAAGGGAAACACAAGAAAGAGACGAAGAGACAGGACAGAGCAGACAAAGACAGAAAGACGGCAGAAAACAAAGACACCAAGACAGCAGAAGACAAAGACGGAAAGACAAGGGTGCTCCCAGCCACGGCCTAGCGCGCCAGTCAAGTCCGCATTGACAGCAACATGTCCGAAAACTCCAACTGCGTTTTTGTCGTTTCGGGGGAGAAAGGAAATCCTAGTCGTGTTGCACAAGGGCGCTTTGATAAATGCATTTCCATAAGTGCTGGATTCTCTGTAAAACCCACAGAGGAAACTAAGCAACATTCTCAAGCCAATGAAAGTCACCTGAGACCCATGTGAAACCCCGGAAATATATTGGGAAGACAATGCAAAAAACAAAGCAATGCTCAAACTAGGTTCCTCGGTTACAAAGCTCTTCCTGGAAGCCGCGGGAAGAATCCACTCGCGAACCTGCATTCTGAAGCCGTTTGTAGATCAGGAAGCATCATGTGGGTCTGTCTTTTTGGGAGGGTACGCCCATTTGTGTTTGCCTTTAAAGGAAGAAACCAGAAACCGATCGAAAAGGGTAAGGCTTCAGGTGTGGAATCCCACTGTGAGGGGGTCAAATAAGGTTGAGATCCGGTGACATAAGGGCAAGGCGTCCGGGCTGCAATCCCACTGGAGTGGGGCCAAAAAAGGTTAAGAATGTCCAACATCAGAAACAAAAAAGAAGTAGAAGAATCATGCTTTCTTTATCTCGGACATTGTTAACACTATTTGTCTCTATGCCTCTACGATTTGGTTCAAATGCCCTTAACATTATCTCGGGGGCTCTTCAGAGAAATATCTCCCTGCCTATGCGGTTTGCAAAAAAGGCCTTAACAGTATTTCAATCGTTCTGTGGAACACACCACCCTTGCCCACAGGAAGCTGGCAGCGTATAGGGCTGGCTTTTCCCGCAAAGGATCAGTCATAGAGGGCTGCAAAGACGAGCCACACGGCTCGCGAACCACAAAGTGTTGCGGCTTGTGAGCCAGGCCTGGCGCCTTAGGCGCTTTACTCCGCACGCCGAGCCAGGAGCCAAGCTAAGTCTCCAGTGGACAGGCCCGACGCCTTTTTCATGAGACGAGATCTGCGGCGAACCTGGCCAGAAGGTTGCTCGGCTAAGCCGGGCTGCAACGGCATAGGCACCAACAGGTCAATCCGATTGTGGCCCGGGTGCCACTTCAGATCTAACAATCCCAAACCTGTCAGAAGGGGGAAAAGTGAAAGCGAAAAGAGCCGAAAAGAGTTGACACACATCCGTCGTACAAAAATGACTCTTTTGAACCTTGCCTCTTTGCGAATCTCCTGTGTTGATGTTTTCAGCTGCTGCTTCAGGACCGCCCTTGCTGCGCGTAAGGCTGGCAGCTGGTCTGGCCCATGCGTGCAAGGTAGCTGCGCACTGGGCGTGCCGGCTGGCACAGCTGGGTTGCCGCTGCGTCACCCGACACGCCGACGTCGAAAAAGAAGTCACAATGCACGCTAAACTCTCTTAGAGATTTGCACAAAAAGGCTGCAGAACCCTGAGCTCACGCTGACCCCTGACGCCATGCTGAAACACGGTCTTCTTTTATGGCCCCTTAAAGTCGACGATTGAAGCTTCCATGCCATGGGCCCTTACAGTGTCACAAATGCTGCTTGCTGTCGGCACCTACTAGTAGTGTGTTCCTTTTGTCTCCTCAAAGACAATGAGTCGGCGGCAAGCAACGCCTTAGGTGTTGTCAGAACAAAATCTTTCCAGCGTACCCCATCTTTCGCCAATCATCTTTTCCGCTTATACCCATCTTTCGCCTTTAGGCTGATGAGGGCCACCATCTCACCTGCTGTGGGTTATTGGGTTTCGCAGGAAGCGGCTTGGGTTGCGGGGTCGGGGTGGGGGGGGGGAAAGGGCCCCGCCCCATGGAATTTTTCTGCAACGGCCTAGTGTGCAGCGTCCGTTGCACGCTATCTCGGCTCCCACACCCCACACCTTGGATAGCCGCGGGGCCCCTTTCCTTTTTGCGAAAAAAATCGCCAGGCGTTGGCTTCTTAGTTGCCACACCCAGGCAAGAAGCTCAGGCTGCCCGTCCAGCGCTGTCTGTCTTTGTTCCATGTACTTGCGCCGCAGGTAGAGATTGAATGCAGCGAAGCCGTATACGTCCAGCGGCTGCGTGAGGCTGGTGCCCCACGCCGGCACAAAAAGAAGTTGCAACCCCTTCTTCTTAGAGAAAGAAAGCACTCTCTTCGGCAAGTGCGGAGCAGCTGTGTCCAGGAGCAAAATTGGCTTCACCAAAGGAAGCCAGGGCTGGAGAGCCTCTCTGACAGCTGCCAGTATTGTGATCATGGTGTTGGACGTCACCCAAGAAGACTTCCCGCGCAGCAGGCGCAATCTTGTCGGCGGCAGGGCCTGGTAGCCTCTGGCAACACTCGTCGGCAAAGCTGCTTGAATCTCCGGGTGACTGCAAATCACCGCGCAGTATGTGCAAGCTACTCTGCGCCTTTCTTTCCGCACTTTCATATGCGGACTCCCTGGGTGAGCCTGCCAGAACTGGTCATCCACCACGCACCCTCTCGGGCACTGTGGAGAGCAAGGAACACTGGTCTCATCCAAGTTGATCCAAACAATTTCTTGATGGTGAAATTTTTCTGCCAATGCACCTCCAGAAAGCTTTCACCTGCCAAAAGCAGCCAAAAAAACATGACACAAGCCTCAACCAAGTGGACCCTCAGTCAAGTTTCTGGGGCCCAAAACTGAAACCTATTTTGGTCCCAAAACATGTCCCCCGAACACACGAAAGCCTCTCTTTTTAACCCTGAAACTGGTTCAGAAACCGGGTCCCGCAAACACCGTTCCCACACCTTCTCGCGCAAAATATTGGGATCCACCTGGTCAGCTGACCGCAAGGATGCCCTCCGGACACCCCACCTCCACCGCCAGCGGGCTGCCCACTTGTTCACACTTCTCCGTCGAGGCTGTCCACATGGTTTGGAGTCAAGCGCCTTGTTCTCGTGATAGTGATACACTTCTGCGGCCGATGGAGCCATACCTTGAGAAAGGTTTTGCCGTTTCACCCAGCACCAAACATCGTGTTCCACAAAAAACTGACGAGCGTACTTCCGCGCAGGCGACCACAGTTCATGACTATCGTCATGTAGCAGCAGCAAGTCGTCCATGTCGTGTTGCACAAAGAGAGTCCGCACCAAGTCTGACGAGGGGAAGGCTGAAGAAGATTTTGGCAAACGGGATAGCCGCTGAGCAGCCTGCGCTGCCAAACTCAAATCCCAATCTGATAAAGCATATATGGCCAAAACTCGTCTCACAGCCTCGCCAGATAGGCCGCCCTGGCGCAAGAAAGTCGCTTGTCGCCGGGCGTGCTGCTGGCAGTTTCTGATCTGGGCTCGGTTTTGGAGAAGAGCTTCTTGGGTCACCTTGTTGTCTGCCAACACGGCCACGGCTTCGGCGGCCACGGGCATGAGAAAAGGGACCTACGCCCTCCTGAATAAGGAAGCTGAGAAAACGCGCAATTTCTGAAATCTGGAAAGCCCCTAGGCATGTGACTTACTGTGTGAAACCTATGATTGAAGCAAACTTCTTTAAGGAAAAGCCCTTCCTCCAGAAGCATTTTTCTGCCTCGAACCTGCTGGGCAAGACAACTTACAAAGCAAGTGGCTGCTGGCTTGCCACGAAACGTCTGCTAGGCAAAGCAAGTCTTTGGCACGTACAGCAATCTGTTGAAAGAGAGACACAAGCTGCGCGTCTTGCCATATATTGGCATCATTTCTTTGACAGCCTCCTGTGCCTGAAATGCAAGCAAGTACCATGAGTGCACACAGACACACACACAAAGAGGGCCCGCAACTGCGAAGCCGGTCATGTCTGCGAAACCGGGCCCATTTTCCACAGCCCTCCGTGCTATCAAAATGACACCCGCTGCGCAGCGAAAGAGAGCTAACTTTTGCCACACACAGGCACGCTCCAGCAGCCTCCCCGCACCCCTCCAAATCAATGTTGGCTGTCCACATCCTGAGACCTGCTAGAATCCACAACATTGACTTAGGGGTCCGGGGTTTGTACCTGTGCAGCAACATTGGCAGACCCGTGAGGTTGTGGGGATTGGCACGAGTATTCATTACGCGTGTTAGCACACACCTTGTGCTCCGAGCGTCAGATGTCTGTATACGCCCAGTCATGCGTGCCAGTGTGGCGGCACAAAAAGATGCATAGGTCACACAAGGAGGTCTTGCTAAGACTGGTCTCACTTCTACAATCAACATCACAAGCACTAATCCTACACGTGTATTTCCTGATAAGCCGCCTGCCACCCAGGAGACTGAAACACGACACGCTAAACAAGTGGGAACCCTGCCTCAGCAAATTGGGAACGTTCTTGCCCCCCGACAACACGAACATCGCAAAACAGCGTGCGCATGGCGGGATGTCCTTCAAGGTTTGGATTCTATGCTGAAAATTGTAAATGGTGAGCCTGGCCCTAAGCATGAGCAATTATTCACGCTCGCTCCAGCGTCTCTTTGGCACGTGCAACGACTGCACTTACACGATTTAATGAACGGTTGGGGTTGTCTTGGACGATAGTTTCTTTCCACAGCAACCAGGTGCCCATTGTATAAGTTCAAGGGCCGGTTGATGCGTAGCGTGCTGCCCTCTAGCCAAAGCAGGCAAGAAGACACATCTAGCACTCCAGTATCGGGTCTCCAGTCGTCCAAAATTTCGCATTGCACGTGAGGAAGGTCTAAAAGAGGATACGAACCTCCAGCTGGCGAAGAGAAAACCTGGGCTTCTGTGCATATATCATGCTAATCTTTTCAAGCATCGGAAAGTGGCCATGTTGGGAATGCAACCGTCATTCGTTCGTCTGCAGGAAAAACGTTGCTCGTACCGAAAGCACACCACATTGCTCTGCAAGAAAAGTATACAACTTTTCCGTGAATTGAAGTTCTTTTTTGACACTGGTTTCTAACCTTGCACCGGAAAGCAAGAAAAGTGTGATGCTGAAGCAGGCGCCCAGGCGCTTGTGGAAATATCAGAGAGAGTGGTTTCAAAATGAAACTCTTCCCCTCGTTGCCGGAGCCAGCAAAGCAGAGGGCGTCCCCTTTCTTCTGCAAGCCGGAGAAAAGTGCAGACTTCACATGTTCGCAAAGGTTCGTCTCATTGATGCCGTTATTGACAAGAATCTCCCGAGCTGCTGGAGCCCAAACGCATTCGCAGCGACACGGCTGCGCCAAGGCGGAAGTGAAGCGCTGCCAAGCGTTCGTTTCCGCTTCTGCGACAGCTCGGTCACATGTCTCCAAAGCGCAACACATCTCCACCTTCTGTCTGATCTGCCCACTGTTGGCAAATAGATAGTTGAGGAGACGCTCGTTGCCCGAATCACGGCCATGCTGAAGCAACCTTGCCAGCAGCGGGTCATCTGGCTGTACTCCAAGGTGCTTCACAATCGGCCACAGCCCGAGGTCTGCGAATTTGGCGGGTTTCTGTTTGCCAGCAGCGTAACGCTGCAAAAAGCGCTCTGCAACTTTCTCTTCAATCGCAGCACTGTCCAGCGCGCCGTTGATTGCATCCAAAAGCGGCGGATGCTTGCGGCCCCCAGAGCAATACAATAATGGGTCCTTGTCCAAGGCGCTGACAGCGCTGTGGCCACATGAAAATGCCACTGTCCACTGCAGTGCTGCTCACGAAACACACCTGCGTGGGTGATGTAAGCAGTCGAACCGTAATCTGCAACGTCAAACGCTTTCAAAACAGCATCTAAAATGGTCTGCCTTGTGGGGGCGCTGGAGGGGTCCAGGTTGGAGAAGGTGAGCAAGTAGGTCTTTTGCACACACTGTGAGTCTATTGTGGCTGAGCTGTGGTTTCTTCACAGCAGAAAGCAAGCGCCGGCTGAGCTCTTGCGGCACCACGGCCATTGTAGCTGCTATGAAAGCGTCCTTTTCTTGAACAAGCTCAGCC